TGGCATCAGTGCTTGAAGTCACTAACTTCTAGTCTGAGCCATGTTGGTAGATTCAGACTACTTGGTTGGGGTCCGCGTGACTATCGTAACCAATGGTTGGAGACTCTAGGTGACATGGCTCAGAATCGGTCACAATGGCGTCAGTGTATACACTCTCTTTCATCCCTTAAACTATGAGATTAAAATCGCTTCATATCTTTCTTTTTACCAACTAATTATTTCTTCCTGTTCTATGTCCTTATATGGAATCTTTCTCTTATATATTACCACCACTGAATTAACTACTTCCATGAATTCGGTGTTCATCTTGTTGTGCTAATGAGGTATGGCAACTAGGACCGATGCATATATGTGCCTGGTCCTACGTTGTAGCTGACTGACTGACCTATCGTGACTACTCAGCTCTTCACTTAGTCTTAGGGTTATACAATCATGGGCAGCATCAAAACTACTGTGACAACATCGAAGCCTTTTTTAAGATGGAATCACTTATTGGTTTTAGTTATCCTTATATATTTGGCGTCAACACTACCCTTATCATATTTGGTCTGCCGATTGTTTAGGTGGACTTCTGTTACCGCCCATTAAACGATGGCATTCACGCAACCAAAAACAAAGTATCTCCGAGTTATCGATCCACTAAGTTGTCGATGTTTTCAGAATTTAACCGGTGGTACATTCTTAATTTAAATAATCAAAAGTTCTCATGCGTAATATAGAAAATATTTGTCGAAATAGTTGATCCGCAAATCTTCATTGTGAGGTACACAGCTTCACCACTCTTTAAGTAGTGATCACTCACTTTTGAGAGTCGAATTACTGTTTAAATGAAACATATCAAACTATATTTCTGAATTTATAGGAAAGGTGGTGCTATTGTGGCTACATCTACAGGTCTTTTATCAAACGCAACTAAAATGTTAGGAGATCCGAAATTACCAACAGTTACAGACAATCTTCAACCGGCAACTCCTAGTATTTCCGCAGCTGAGTTGAAGGCTGTGAGTGCTAATCGTGTACAGAGGGATACAGTTCATCGTCGTGCTGCTCGTCTACTTGCTGATAAATCAGTCCTCGCTTGTCGTGCAGACTGTTTTCGCCAACACAATCCAATTTACCAACAGCAAGGTCTTGCTTCACAACCTTGTGTCTCTGTCATAGAAGATGAACGACTCAAATGTGGAGCATACGGTCAGTATCTTGGAAAAACTGTCCAAGAACACTTGAGGATATGGGCTGAAAAAAACGGGATACATACAGACAAAACTGAGGAACAGAAAAAGGTATTTTAGAGAAAAATTGCTCTTTATGTACTTAGTATTATTTGTATACAACTCCAATTCTACTAACTGAAGATGTTTCTCTGTTTTAGGCGCAGCGTGAAAGAAGGAAAAAGTATCGGAAGCTCAAACGAAAGGCTTGGTTCGCCCGTAAACTTTCTAAATGCACAGAGAATCAGCTGTCAGATGATGTCAACAAAGATATTGAATCTATGGATGTCGATTCAGATGGTCCCACACAATTTAAAATTATCACTTCCCAACTGATAGACAATGGAGATACTTTTAATAATGCGAAGAAAACAGATGACAGTTATAACGCAGATTTGAATGGTACATGTTTAGCAAACTCCAACGAGCTCTTGAATTCGTCAGCAGAGAAATCTTGTTTTCGTAAAAAAAAGTCGGAGTGCAACAAATAATTTCCGCTAAATATTAACACAATGATTACAAATTCTATTGTAAATAACTTGGACTTTGCAAGTTGACATTTGATTGTAAGGCATTTTGCACATATAAAAAATCTTACTCTCATGTTAACGATTCAAGTTCAAGAAATGATATCCCTGACATCTTAAAGCGATGCTATGAACTCCATGTTATAGCTCAAATCAAGAAAAGCTGGCCTAGCTGTCGAGGTCTTCGACTTTCAGTAACAGTCTCGAATCCCCCTTCGGTTTCGACGACCGGAACAATTTACCCACCCTGTATTTGTGATCTTGAACGCTACTTCTCATGGCCTTCCTAACGTAGGCATAGAGTCAAGTTTAAAAACAAAACAGGCTTTTCCGTGTTGGATTATATTAGACGGTTGCTTGTGCACTGTCCGACTAGACGAGACTGTAGGAACTCAGAAGGTGAGGAGCCCACTGTTGCCTATTCGTCGTCTCTGCCCATGCTCACAATAATTTTTACACAATGCCTTCTGATGTCCTTCAAAAAAACAAACACTCAGATGCAGTAGTTTCATTGGATAAGTAGGTGGTCTATATTCAACTGAAAGGTACTTAGTTGGGTACTACGGTGTACTGGTCAACAAATAGGCAACGACTGCCGTCTAGTGCTACTATCCTCAGGAAATAGTTAATCTATAGCAAATGGCAACTCCAAGCATAAGAGATTTTGTCTGACATAGCGATCCTCAAAATCAACTCAATGATGGACTCAAATAAACCATATCGTCTTCGTTTATCATCAGAGGCTCAACATGGAATCGTCGATCTTTCTGAAGCACATGTTTAAACTCGAATCACGCTCTTGTGCGAGCACATATCTACTAGCGTTTTACTGGATGCAGAAAACCCGTGAAAGGAAGATTCCTTAGTGCTCAGTTATTCATAAAAACTCAATGAAATACTCGAGGAAGAACTAGAGATGTCCTTCAACAATCATCGAAATGGTGTCCACCTCAATGTGGGTTGGCATAGTATCCGAACAGCTGTGATGTCTATCAGTGACTTAAACCAAAATATTATTAGAAGTCAGTAAATTCCAATGGTGTCAATCGAATTGGTCGATGCTAAGAGACATTCTATCAGGCTGCGAATAAAATGAGGAGCGAAGGCTATTTAAACATAAACTGATAAAAGGTGTGCCTAACGATCGCGACCAGTGGTTGTAAGCGAAAGCAAGAGAGATAGAAAGAGCAGTGGTAGGTAATAGTAGACAACTTTCCAAAGAAGGTATCAGAAATTCAGCTGTTAGTAGGACCATTTCTAAAAAACGTGTAACCATGATTTACTCTCAGCTCAGACGACTAGAAAGATGGTCAGAACTCTTTTAGGAACACTTAAACTGTTCTCAAGTTTCTAACTATTATGAAACAGAGCGGGAGATTAAAATAAGTCGAAAAGGGGGGCAGCTGATCCCGATTCATTAACCCTGAAGATCTTTAGGAATGATGGCCCAACTTAAGCAATCAGATGGGCTGAAATATTGGCTAGAATCTAGGATCTAAACATAATTCCACTTGACTGATTTTAACTACTGACCATCCTAGTCAATAAGGACAAAAATCCTCTTGTGATAACCATAAGAAAGTTTGACTGACGCTGTTTCGAGAAGATGGTCATCTGGTGCTGAACCATCACTTGGAGACATTGGGTGAAATAGTTTCGAATCGGTTACAGTAACACCAACGGATTCACTGTCATCCTATAGATCGTGAGTTTTAAATTACCTAATCCTTTCCTATTTCACGAATTCATATTTCTCAAATTATGTTCTGTATGCCTAATCTTTCTTACTACCACTGATACTGTTACTTCTTCCACCATTCTGGCGTTTGTTTTGATAAACTCATCTCGACGTGCTAATGTGATATCGCAAACGGAACTGAAGTACATACGTGCCAGGTCCTACCTTTCTTATGACTGACTAAATCTAATCATATTCATACAGAAAAAGTCGCCTAGTTACTGCATGCGAAGCTTTTCGCATAGACTAAAGAGTTAATAACTTCTTTTTTGTTGTTGATCTTAATTCTAGTTAAAGAAACTTTAGATTACGTTCAGTCTTATCATCTGAAATTATCTTAGGGTTACTTTATAGTAAATTATAACTATTCATGGCTAAGAAATCGACCAATTCCATAATACATTTTAAAGTGTAATACTCATTAGAGCTTATAAATGACGCGTTCATAAATTGACTTTATACGAGAATCACTGGTAATAAGATACTTCGCTAATACTTATGCTGTGAAATTTAGTCCGAAATTCATTATACTCCAGTGTATCTTGAATTGAATAACGTAGGATTTAGTCGTTTTATACGTTAATATTCCAATTTATTTCGTCCGGTTAGTTTTTAAACAAAAATAAGGGAAATCCTAGTAAAAACGTGAACTCAAATATAATCTAGACAGTAAACACGTATGGTTTGGCCATATCGAGAATGAGTTAGTATGTGGGAGAAAAACAGCTCTTTACATAATTTATAGTCCCAAGATACTAAAAGTGTTTGTACATATTTGTATGTATTAACCAGGTGGTCGAACATAAATATAAACTGTGGCTTTTGGAAATGTTTATTCGCTCCATCCACTAACGAAATGTAATAGTTTTCCAACCATAAGCTCGGGTTTTCATAGAACATCTCAGCCTCATCGTTATACTGATAACTATCTGATACCAGTTTTGTCAAATCTGGATTACATGATAGTTGCTTAAAAGAAATGTTTCGATGTAGATATCTGAAAAGAAAAGAACGAATTAAGAAATCAGTGCACTTATGCATCAGTAAGTCTTTACATTACCATTTAGTGAGTTCCCTCATAATAATAAACTGAAAATAGTTGTTTATTACTGTTATACTCAATGATTCTACAGAAGTTTAGTAATAAAAGTGTAGAAGTCTGGTTTGATGATTAGTTACTTCGTTATTGTATAGAATGAGGTTCTGGTATATGCGTGACTCTAGCATATCTATTTGTATATGAACAAGTTTGGTTTAATTTTATATACATTTATTAACTGTGCTATGTTAATCCTAGAAGTTATTCCAACATGCAACGATACAATTTTTTGGCGTGTATGGTTGAGTGAACAAATAATAGCTTAATTACAAATTAATTACTGAACTGTTTATAGTATCAATATTTAAAACCAAATAACTTACCCTACTGATGGGACTGTATGACACGGCATCAAGTTCAGAGCAGTTACGACCTCATTTCTAGGCTGATTTTTCAGTAATTGTTGGTTCAAAAATTTTATTGAATCAAGTCCACCACGCTGATGTACTAAGCATGTATATAATGCCAATGGAATATGGGTCAAAATGATGAATGACACCAAATATTGGCGTCGGATATCCTGATTGTGTAGAAATTTTAGTTTGAATCCGTAACGAACGAACCACACCGATATAATACCAGAAAAATACATAGCTAGCGGGATTGATGGGAAGATAAATCTGAATTCTTTGTGCGGCAAGAAACTGAACATTAAAGAGAGAGAATTACCTTCAACTAGGAACGTAAAACTTTAAATGCACAAAGGTGACTTCCGATCATGTTTGAGTTGATAAAGAGAGCCAGATGAACGAGTAAATATTTACACTGAGTACTAAGAAGGCATTGTGGCAACAGAGTAACTGAGACCACGCGCTAGCATTCTCCACTTATTGACAGAGAAAAGTGGATGTATAACTAACCTATTTCCGTTTGGTATCAACCGAACTGACAATAGATGCTGAATTCTGGAATTTCATATTACAAATTATTCACACACCAAGCCCTTTCGTGAGTTGAATACATAGTAGTCCATGAGCGACCCAGAATAGTATTGACTCAACCTAAGAGTAATTTTATCACTTACTACTGTAGTTAAGTTTCCTGAGAATTAGATATACTGTCATTAATTCAATGTTTTCATTCATCACTAACTTTCAGTGCTAAGAATTTTTCATTAGATCTTTATAGCTAACCGTCACTCTGGCCAGTTTTTTCCAATTGTCAGTACTTATGATTATGATAGTGTATCTTCGTGTGGATTTCAACAGCTGAAGATGGTTCCCACTTTCAAATTATACTATGATTTACTTGTAAACGTTTTAAAAGTGAAAGAGGTTTCACAGGAATTGGTTACCTTTAATACCTGGTGATTTGTTACTGATTATGTTTACTGCTACAGCTACAAAAGACAAAATAAGTTGTTGATGCTGATTAAAGGACGATAAATTAGTTAGTGCCACCCAGTATATTTTAAGCCCAAGTAAAATTACATTCGACAGAAACACGGTTATCACGCGTGCCTTACGTTTTCATTCAGATAAGCGGTTATTTATTATCCAAGATTACGCGATGTGCAATAAACTACACAGCTAGCAAAAGATAATGTCAATATCCAAGACACTACTTAATAAAACAGAATGTGACAAAATTAGGAATTTAGCGAGTGGCAAATTAGTTAGGTGATTAATAGATGATCTAAACTTACCTATAACATATTATAGTCCATATCATAACAATAATACACAAACCACATGGATCACGAAACATCTGGTTACTAGAGTTGTTTGAATAGTCTATCTTCTTTCTCTCTCCCGTAAGATCTCTTACAAAACCTGGACCATATTTAAAATACATTACAATAAAGGTTACCACCAGAGGTGTTTGCGTTAACAACATAGCTGCAAATCCTTGGGATATGTACCAGTGCCAAGGCTGAACGTCATAAAATCGTGATCCTCCGGAAAAAATATTGAACTTAATGAAATTCCACTGGTTGATTATCCACTGATTATATGTCAAACGATCCAGAACGCAAGAGAAAGCAAAACAGGGCACAATTATACTTAAGTAAATTCCAATCTGATAGATAAGATGGTTTAGAAACCATTTTGTCCTGTATAATAAAATCATTTAAATAAGGAAGAAAAAATATCCTGAATAGAGGGGCTTAGTTAATTTGTGCAATTCGTATATAAAATTCGAAAAGGTAAAATACTTTAACGGTCACTCAATGCATTTGCTGAATATTAGTGTATATATCAATGTACGTATTGCACGGAGATTCAGTAAAATTACTGATCGACATGTACTATAGTGGTTTAACAAATAACAATAAACACATCTACCATCCCAATGTACAACGATCGCGTGGAGTCACAGGAACATAAATTTAAAGGTTTATAATACAAATTGATATCAATCGGGCAATATGTACCAGTAACCTCTTCTGTCATTGTTATACTAAACCACCACTCACCACTTCCTGACCTTATCAACTAATTTCAAATATGATAGCTTTTACTGGAAAGGATTTTAAAACGAAATAAAACGGTTATCAGAATTTAAAAAACCAGACTATCTTGTCTCACTATAATTCAAGTGATTTCTTTAAAACAATTCATTAAACGTTAGCACACAACTCCATTCGTGTTAAAAAAGTAGTTGAACGAAAAAAAAATTGTATATGGTATGCAAGTAACTAGTTGATTCATTAATGTAACATTCATTGTTGAATGTTAAATATTGTATTGAAAACTAAAACCTCTTATTTTCACCACATGTGTAAAACGGATCATTTAAGTCCAGTAATCTCCGCCTGAAGTCCCTCCGGGGGCTACTGCCGGTCCCAAGCCCGGATAAAGGAGGAGGGTTGGGCATGGGGTTAGCGTCCCCATCCCGTAGAAAACTAACTCGCTAAAAAAACGCTAACCAGAAAAAATTATTCAAACTTTTTAAACTCTGCCCTGGGAGTCAGAAGGTCTTCATTTAGAAGAATTATGACGCCTCATGATGAAAGCCGAATTCCTTCGGAAGTTACGAGGCCGATGCCCCTTCTGACAACCAGAGCGACCATTTATTTAGGTACATGGAATGTTCGTACAATGTGGGACACCGGAAGAGCCTTCCAAATTGCTGCAGAAATGAGAAGATACAACATAGAGGTACTTGGGATCAGTGAAACACATTGGACACAAGTTGGACAACAACGACTAACTACAGGAGAGCTCCTGTTATACTCCGGCCATGAAGAAGAAAATGCACCACATACACAAGGAGTTGCATCGATGCTGTCCAAACAAGCGCAAAATGCGCTTATAGGATGGGAATCTCATGGACCAAGGATCATCAAAGCTGATATAGCATCAGATCATCACTTACTGGTCGCCAAGATGAAATTGAAACTCAAGAAGCACTGGACAACGGGGCGGACAATATCACAAAAGTTCAATACGGCCTTTCTTCAGGATACTAACAAACTCAACGAATTCAAGATAGTCCTCAGCAACAAGTTCCAGGCGTTTCATGATCTACTCAATGGAGAAGGAACTACTGTGGAGAGCAACTGGAAGGGGATCAAAGAGGCAATCACTTCAACATGTCATGAGGTCCTGGGTCACAAGAAGCACCACCACAAGGAATGGATCACTGTTGATACACTGAATAAGATTCAAGAAAGGAAGAACAAGAAAGCAGCAATCAATACCAGCCGAACAAGAGCAGAAAAAGCCAAGGCACAAGCTGAATACACAGAAGTAAACAAACAAGTGAAGAGGAACATCAGAACCGACAAACGTAAATATATGGAAGATTTAGCAACGACGGCGGAAAAGGCTGCAAGAGAAGGAAACATGAGACAATTGTATGACACGACAAAGAAACTCTCTGGAAATCGCCGCAAACCAGAACGACCAATGAAAAGCAAGGAAGGCAAGGTAATCACCAACATTGAAGAGCAACAAAACAGGTGGGTAGAACACTTCAAAGAACTGTTGAATCGACCAGCTCCACTGAACCCACCCAACATCGAAGCAGCACCCACGGACCTCCCAATCAATGTTGGCCCACCAACAATTGAAGAAATCAGCATGACTATCAGACAAATGAAGAGTGGCAAAGCAGCAGGACCGGACAACATCCCAGCAGAGGCACTAAAAGCAGACGTGGCGGCAACTGCAAGGATACTCCACATTCTCTTCAATAAGATTTGGGATGAGGAACAAGTACCAAAAGACTGGAAAGAAGGACTTCTAATCAAAATACCGAAGAAAGGCGATCTCAGCAAGTGTGATAACTACAGGGGCATCACTCTTCTCTCAATACCGGGAAAAGTCTTCAACAGGGTATTGTTAAACAGGATGAAGGACTGCGTAGACGCCCAACTTCGTGATCAACAGGCAGGATTTCGTAAGGATAGATCGTGTACAGACCAAATCGCAACTCTACGGATCATTGTGGGACAATCAGTTGAATGAAATTCATCACTCTACATCAACTTCATCGACTACGAAAAGGCATTTGACAGCGTGGACAGAACAACACTATGGAAACTTCTTCGACACTACGGCGTGCCTCAGAAGATAGTCAATATCATACAGAACTCATATGATGGATTACACTGCAAAATTGTGCATGGAGGACAGTTGACAAAGTCGTTCGAAGTGAAGACCGGTGTTAGGCAAGGTTGCTTACTCTCACCCTTTCTCTTTCTCCTGGTGATCGACTGGATCATGAAGACGTCAACATCTGAAGGGAAGCGCGGGATACAATGGACATCTAAGATGCAGTTGGATGATCTAGACTTCGCAGACGATCTGGCCCTTCTATCCCAAACGCAACAACAGATGCAGGAGAAAACGAACAGTGTGGCAGCAGCCTCAGCAGCAATAGGTCTCAATATACACAAATGGAAAAGCAAGGTTCTCCGATACAACACAGCATGCACCAAAGGAAGAGAGGAAGACCAAAGAACACATTAAGCCGGGAAATGGAAACAGACATGAGAAAAATGAACAAGAATTGGATTGAACTAGAAAAGGCCCAGGACAGAGTGGGTTGGAGAATGCTGGTCAGCGGCCTATGCTCCATTGGAAGTAACAGGCGTAAGTAAGTAAGTAATCTTTGTGAATATAGTAGTAGTAAAGACATAACGTGACAGAGTTTATCATTGAAACAAATTAAATCTACATACTGAGCCGTACATACCTAGAATACTCTTGATATTCTTTAAGACCATGATTATTATCCTTATCTAGTGTACTAGCTATCATACACTTTCGCCATATATGCCAAAAACACAAAGGAAACCAAATAATCAAAGCTGTTGGACGTATTAGAACACAGACTACTGCAATAAAAATGAACCATTTCGACTGATTATGATAGTTGGATGCGGTTAGTTGAATAAACTGTTGATCTGTTTGGCACACCACATTCCATGGATAATAGGATAAACCAATTATGCATAAACACCATTCAAGACAGTTTGATAGACTTCGTGGAGCACAATATATAGTAAACCAGTTACAAACATGATGAAACAACGTCCACTGTAATCGTTTTATCAAAACGAAGCAAAAATAATTAAGGGGATAAGTCAATAAATTAAGAAATACAAAACTCAAAAGTATTTGTACATGCGAGATTAATCGTATAAGCTTACTATGAATTGAGGTTGCTGAGGGAAGACTTTTTGGTGATGTACAATCCCTTTCTTTTTCAACGGTTTACTTAATTAAATACTTATTACTCAGAGTACCAACCGTTCTAGTATTGACTACGTAACTAGATTTCCGAAACATGTGTTTTACACTCCATTAAAAAGTCAATCATAAAGGTTGACAACTTATTTTACGTAAGTGGAAATCATGTACTTCATTTCTACTGAATATTTGTACACATTCTTTAAAGTTGAATATGGTTTGTAATCAGAAAGATAGAACTGACTAATGAGCACTAATGGCACAAGTAAATTGATCAGGTAAAAATGCTTTTCGGTTCTCGATTCAACAGCTTCTAAGGTTTTACCATACAAAACTCCACTTCTTAACTACAACCTACATTCAACATACTGTTGACAGATAATGGCAACCTAAGATACTTCACTTGCCAGAAAACATTCAAAAATGAAAATTATATATATATATATATATATATATATATATATATATATATATATATATATATATATATATATATATATATATATATATATATATATATTAGAAAGCTCTTCACATTTGACAATCAATATGTTTGAGCAGCACATATCAAAATAAGATCAGGATTACAGCTTTAAGTAAAGAGGGGGAAATCAGTGTGATGAAAACTAAGCAATTCGAAGAGATTACCCATCCTCAACTGAAATTTATCAGAAAACCACAGTTTCGCCTTAGTTTGTTATCTCTCAGCAGTACCATGGAGGATTTCAATTCTAGATAACCGAGCGGGAACTATACAGTTTACACTTTAATTCAATCCATCCGAGATGTAGCGCGGGCACCATATCCTATCATCGATGGGTAACTGCGTTAATTTCAAAGTGGTTAAATACTGAATAAGTGTTATGAATAAGAAACTAGTATAGCTTGTAGCAATATACTTAAGTCTTTTCATCCACCGAAATTACTGAAAACATGATTATTTTTTACCTGTTTCTGAGTGCATTCCGTCATTATACTTCTAGTTGGGGATACTATTTTTATGTTACACATTTCTTTTCTGCTAAGGTTTCTATGTGGATTACTGTACAACATTAGTTGTGATTTCAAATCTAATTATATAGAATATGAATTTTGACACAATTCTTCCGAAAACAAAGTCTTAATCCCATTCTTCTCCAAACGAACAGTGAAATATCATAATGATCATTCTATTCTATAGGGAACTAGTGTAAACAACCTATAAAAACTCAATGTTAAATAAGTACAAATACAATCCAAATAAGCAAACAAATACTTTGGCTATTTGAAATCCAGATAGCTGTTTGATAAGTTTGTACAAGTGAAAATCAGCAATAGCTGCAAAAAAACCATGCAGAATTTGAGGTGATTTCATTATCATCCACTGTGAATCGGCACCAAGAGTTGCAATCATTTTATATATGAAGCTAATCAAAAGTGGATGAACAGGACTCCGAAGTGCGATTTTTGGTTCCCATTCCCAAGTGAGTGTTCCATATCTGCATAAGGAGGAAATAAATAACTAATACAAGCAATTTAGTTAACGATACAATATCCTAAATTTACCGAACTTCTAATTTTGTCCAGGTAAATTTGTATTAAGCATCATCTTCAAATAGACAAACCCTGGTAAAATGCAAGTATCGATTAGAGGGCCCATTTTCAGATGAACATGTGGTGCCCATTAAGTAACTTAGTAGTCTAGAGAACGATGATTGAAGCAACATATGATTTAGTTAAACTCTAAACTAAGCTGTCAATACCCTCCCTTCAATACTAATAAAGACAATCGATAACATAAAACTAGTGAAATGTGAACACCCTTTCGGTGGATTTCCAGAAAGAAAACCTTAACTCTAAAACTCTCCGTACACAAATATTTCAAGTCAGATAAAAATACAATCAAGAGAAAAGCAAACTGAATAAGAATTTCGCAATAAACCAAATCCCACAGTAATGCTTATTAGTGAGCCATATGATCCTGATTAAAAGTAACAAGTGTAATGAAAATTTTAACCAACGCCTTTTCCTGTTTATGCTCTGTAATTCTTGAAGTTGTATTTTAACTTACTAACTTTTTAATGTTTCACGATATATATTCTATTTAATCCAATCTGTTTATTGGGCTAAACGACTTCAGAACACTCAGCTTTAAGTAATTACTTCAAAGTAAACATATATTTTCATTAAAAAAATCAGATACAGCAAATTTAAATTATCCTAGTGAGGACAAGGCTTTATTTAGTGTTTTAACATTATTAAATTTTTTGGATGTTTCAAATATCTATTACTGTACTCAGAATAAAGAATTCATCAAATATCTATGTTGCTCATAGAAGCTTACAGATTTCAAATATAAAAAATGTGCACAATTAAACTAGTAGAATGGAGCTAATTTTAAGCATGCTGTATTTCGGGCTTACCCAAACACCCATTTGTGTGCGACTTCAATAGATTGCCAATATTCATCTGGTACATAAGATGTTTGTATTAATAAAGCATTAAAAAATCGAAAAAGGAGTAAGCATACAAATAAACGCGAAGAATTCCTGAATATCAGTTCCATACAATGAAAAATATTCCTGAAATTAAAAAAGCGATTAGTTCAGGACAATATTGCATTCTGGAAAAGAGTTGTGCCAAAAATAAAGTACATAGTCAATGACAGACAGACAGAATCAACATAGAGCCTGGAACAAATGTTCGTTGTCCCAAGTTGCCATATCTGATTAGTAGTACTGTAGTGAACAAGAACACGGGTGAGGACAATCGATTGTATTTAGCACAAAAATTACAGACTATCTCAATAAAATGTGAATATCATAAAGTCAATCGTCAATTTGCAAAATATCATTCCATCATATCAAACTGTACTGTTCCCGTTGCAAACACTAATCCATTGTCTCCCATTCCATTGTACATGCGTTTTCTTACACTTCCATTGTGCTCTTGCTCTTCCTTTCTTGATCTTCGCCATTTTCTGCTGCCGGACATTACGTTCTTTTAACCACGTTATATACTACTTATATAAGTAGCTCACACCACAGTACCACTACATAAAAATAAAAAAATTTAAATAATATAATAGCAGTCATAAGAAAGAAAGAATAAACCTTGAGAGTCTGGTTTGAAGATCGAGAGGAAGATAAAAAGTGAACGATTCTGAGCTCAGTCTTTCAACGCATCCAAAGACTGATTGAAGTTATCAAGTGAACCTCAGTAACACGGCTCAGACTTTATGGACCGATGTATGGTTTTGGTCAGACCACCTCTTTCTTCCAACACACTCCTACACTAACAGGCATCGCTCGTTGAAGTAGGTGGCGGTCAAACATACATAACAAATATCCCAACCATCTCAGTCGGTAAATCATTACAACCTGAACAATCGATTTGCCACCATGCCAAGTACGTTATGTGTAAGATAAGAGTCCAGCTTAAACGGGCTTTTGACACGAGGTATAGTTCGTCATCGAGACGAATTTTTGTTACACAAGCTGTGGTCGCTGATTGTTCCAGTGCATGATGAATGAAAGGGAATTCTTCATAGATTAATTAGTCTGAATAATATTTCGTTTAGGATATTAACATCGATACTCATCCGAAACACAGGGGTCATAAAGAGTAAAGGAGAGAAAATCGAACACTTTCATCATCCATCAGGTTTTGAAAGAAACATATTTACGCATCCCCAATTGTAATCTTATGTATTAACTCCATTAATCGATAGGTCCCATGATGTTTGTCATTGAATGTTTATAAAAAGGTACATTTTTTATTTATTTAAATGCCTATATGATATTTTAATGATTTCTCAACCTAATACTAAAATTGACGAGAATTTTAAATAAAGATTTTGTTTAACTATAAGGAGTGCAAATGTAGATAATGTCGAATACACTTATTTTTAACGTCTAGTTAATACAGTGGCTGGTGAAATCTCGATAGCGGCACAGAAAGTTCAATTGGTTTTCATCAACTTATGTAACCCGCTGAACAGACGATATATCAAAGTGCCAACCAATTGGTTAAGACACTGTACCACAGTTCATTGTTTTATTTTACAACTGACCTATCAAAAGTAGAATTTCTCAAGCTTCACGTATTTGATCATCGGTGTTTTCTAAGGATTAGTTGCATATTGTGAAACTACATAGTGAATAATGTTTAGGTTAGACAGAGAGTAATAGGTAGAAATGAAAAATCAGTTGGTGAAACCGAATTGTCATCTACTACGATGGGTGTGACATGTGTTACATATACCAAAATAGTCTGCCTTGTCACACCATACTTCCTGATACGAGAATAGGTGAGGAAAAAATCTACATGTATCAGTTCCTGAAGACATAAACTGTTACCTTGAAGGATATTGGTAAGTGAAGAATTATAAGTAGATACCCGCGTGAGAGCCCTGATCTATAGCTACAGGCATCATATGATCGAAAATCGGACGCTTTGGTGCCAGATGCGTTCACTTTCGTAACTCTTTTAAGTTTCAACATTATTTCATCCTTTTGATTTTTTCATTTCTACTTTCTGAGACATATATACGTTTGGCCTTTTTTACTGACATTTATAATACTACTATCTTCGCAATTCACCTTGCTAGTTCTCTCTTGATGTGCTGATGTTCCAGGTTCTGTTTTGATAATGACTGACTGGTAAAAAGTATTATTGTAATATGTTAATATACATTAACTACATAATTAACAAACAGATTCACAGGTGATAAAGTGAAAACACAAATTTCATATCAAAAATATTTATTTTTTAATCGGAATTTTCAATAGATTCACAATTAAGAGAACTGTTTCGTGATCGTTTACTTTCTATCTCGTCATTACCATTTTCATAACAGTTGACATCATTTAGATTTCGTCCAATATCAGATATGTCTATACCAACACTTTTGAGAGCATCACATGCCCATGTTGGAGGACGACAACCTTCATATTCACTTTGGCTTTCGTTTTCTTTACCTTTATAACAGCGACGTTCGAAGAAGGAATGAACAAATTCAGGGAAAGTATTGGCACTTATCGCTTCTCTTATTTGTTTCATGAGACCCAACATGTAAGCTAAGTTATGCAAACTAATAATTGCAGAAGAACTAACTTGTCGACCAGATAATGCTGAGTGTAACCAAGCTCGAGATAAAGGACGAGAGCATGTTGGACAAGGACATTTTTCATCGATAGGACGAAAATCAGTCGCATATTTAGCTTGACGAAGATTTAACTAAAAACAGAGAACAGAAAGAAAATGTGGTATTTCCAGTGCTTTAGAAGATCAGAAGTATTATATTCATTTTCAAATGGGAAAAAACTCTATCCAGTACTGCCACTGATTTTACCACTTAACATCCTGTACAGAATTATGGGAAGAAGGTGCTGCATTACTGTAGTAACCGCCTCTGATAACCATTTAATTTTTACTAGATATACTATCCCAGAAATCAATATAATATAGAATAGCTTTATTTGAATGATATGAAGATGATTCAAAGTTCCAAACAAGGACCAATAGACACTTTATGTTAGTTATGGAATACACTTTTATTTCATGACAAAATAAAACATTCAGTAGTCCAAAAAAGAAAACCAATCAATCATTTTACCTGACCCCAAGGAACAAGAGCGTTACCAAATCGACCTGTTCTTGTAGGATAAACGCAATCAAACATATCACATCCTAATGCTATACATACAACAAGATCAGTAGGGAACCCAACTCCCATGACATAACGAGGTCGGTCAAGAGGTAGATGATCTGCTGATAGCTTAATAATACGCCAAAAATCATCTTTTGATTCGCCACCACTAAGACCACCAATAGCGAATCCAGCCACCTATAAAGAAATAAAAAAATTTCAATCAAAGCCAAGATACTACTTATGTTGAAATACACTTCAATAGTTCAATATTCGAATGACCATAAACACAAAATACAAATTAAAAACCAAATTGATGTGATAAGTTTTCTTTGCTCATAGAATTAATTGAAGCAGTTGATTTCATTACATATGACTGATCGATGACTATGGAATTTTTGGACGTGTTTAATAAACAAGATGAATGAAATATATGCCCAAATATTTAACAACAATTAAACATTTTTATGTCAAAATTTCAATCAGGTTGGAAAAGCAAACTGCATTCTAATAATTCTCATAAGTGTCTTCTTGGTTAGAAAGAGCTCAGGATGGGTCTAAGCACTTTATACCCTATAGTTACTTTTAATAAGTTATTTTGTGTTTTTTTTTAGTCTTAACCATTTGGTTTGTCATTCAGTTCATTAACAAAACTATTTTTGTTATTATAAAACGTGATTAATTAATTAACAATCTAATGTAATATGTTATTAAATAAAATATTGCTAACTTCATTTTTACGTTTCAACATTTCGTTAATGCAGTCAATTCTCATTGTCGGGTCCAAACCACCTTGAGTTATAGCAAATAAATTCTGATTACTTTTCTGACCTTTATGAGCAGTAATACTTCTGAAAAAAAGGCAAACATCATTATCCAACTCAACTGAAATATCATTATGCATTTGATAAACATCTATCAAAAATAAGCATATGAACAGACAATGTATGCATGAAGTTACAGGTTTATCTAACTATTTCTTGTATTCGTCTGAGCCACTAAACTATTACGAACAGTGAAAATGATTATAGAACAATGATACTGAAAAGATCAAGGGCATGTAAATAAATGATTAGAATTTACTTGTACATTTTGTCGTATGGATAACTCATTTATCGAAAAAAAAACTAAAAAACTTGGCGACATCATATATCGACAATGTCGCATCTATAAATAGCCATTATTATTATTATTATTATTATTATTATTATTATTATTATTATTATTATTATTATCATTATCATTAATAATAATTATCAGACTATACGAGAAAGATTTAACTGAGAAATCCTCGTAAACATGAATAGTGATTGGAGTAAGAAGAAAAAAAATCACTAATTAATTAAATTAGACTGTAAACACAATCCACATTAATAACTAGCTTATTGCTATATAAAGATAAATATTTGAAACTTGATAAAATATTTCATAAATTTCAAACCCAGTATCATCATCTTGTACTGAAGTATGTACATATACACGATTAATAAAATTGAAAAAAAGTTAAAAACTAATCAGTGAAACAAACACGTGCCTATCTAACCAACGGATAGATCTTTCCATCGCTTTTTTCATAGATTTGTCATCTGTTAGCACATGCACAACGTGATCCAGCTGCATAACAATATCTGAACCCAGTGCGTTTTGGAAATTTCCAACAGATTCTTCGGGAGTTAAGAGCATTTCAGTATGATTATGTGGAGAAGTAAATCGAACTCCTTCCTCAGTAACTTCGGACAATTTGTTTAATGAAACCATTTGGAAACCCCCTGAATCTGTAAGGATGGCACGAGGCCAAGACATAAATTTATGAAGCCCACCAGCCTAAAATTAAAAAACAGATGTCAGGATCGGATACGCAAAACACAACCAGAAAAATGTGAAACTGATAGGAAAGAACTGATGACACCACCATGTAATAGTTAGCTAAAATATCTACACTGAAACCATCGATTGCAAGGTTAAACACTCAGAAATAAACCAATTTACTTAAAGTAGATATTGATCCAATAGGGGGTACTGCAAACTTGTTGGATTTTTATGTGAAAATAGCTTATATACTTGATTAATTAATGTACTATTTTAGTTATACTATCTTGGTTGTATATTTTGTACACAAATGACAGCTTCATGAGACCAAGATGTTAGTAAGTCGGTGATTTCAAAATCGATAGGCATGTATTTAGAATGCATGGCTCGGTTTAATAAGGCAAACACCTAATTGGCCAGCTCAGTCTAGTAATCATCGACCAATAGTAATTGAAACATTTCATCAGCAAACCGTTCAGTCATAGCACATATAATGCAAACATAAAACGCTATGGCACAAAAAGTTGAACATTGATATGCCAGTAAAACTACTGTATAAGGTGGGCAGTGTCCGTTCTGCTATTGAACTTACAG